ATTACTATTTTAATTATTTTATTCTCGTTATTACTATTTTTGTTATTATTGTTATTGTTATTGCTATTGTTATTGTTACATTGGGGCATACACTCCATTCGAATCATCTATTTTTCCCTCTGTCTCTTCCCAGGTCTGGGCCAGTGTGTGGAGAACGCTGAGTGCTCCTCCCCCGCCCCCACAGGATTCTGTCTCTGTAATGAAGGTAATGAAAAGAAATCAAATGAGGTAGTTTAGCTTTAGTTTTAAGTAAGAGTTTTACGGCACTTGCAAAACAATAAGGTCATATAAGTGCCGAAGATTAGAGGTGTTTCAAGAGAGTAACAAACGCAAAAAAGGAGGGGAGATAAAGACGATAGATTATGTTTGAAAGGAAAGAAGGATCTTATCACGCCAGAGCACCCGCCAACCACCCACAAATGAGGTAATGCCTGATGAAGCCCGCGTGGGACTCTCATTGTTAAAGATAATCAGGAAAAGACAATTAGTGCAGTTTTGGGGGTTCCTGGATAGACATAAAAGTCTTGAACATCTAGCTCTCACTGGCAAAATTGAAGGCAAACGGGGCAGGGGTAGGCCCAGAACAACCTATCTTGGGAACCTAAACAAGGCATCGTGGTGGAATCAGGCTCTCGTCAATTTTTGGGCATATGGAGTTATTGGTATCATCTTAAAGCTTGTTCACTTGTCATTATTTGGATGAACAAAATATCCATGTATCTTGAATACAAGTTGAGATATTTGCGAATGAAGGAGGTGGGGTTCACCTGTTTTCAGAGGTAAAATTATTGGGAAAATGGCCGCCAAAGATTAGTTATTTCCATAGCTTAAGAGTCCGTGGTAACTGAAAATTTACATTTTTTGTACCTTTAATCAACGTTTTTCAGAAAAATCCACACAGAAATGAGTTCGTCAATGGGTATGAAATGTGTTGAGCCAAAAAACAAAAATTTGATTAAAAATCCACTAACCTCCGGAAAAATGGAAATTTCTTCACTTTGATTATTTTGACGAGAGCCTGGTTCCACCACGCTGCCTCACAGGGTCACGGGGAAAAGATCAGGGACACGTAGCTTTTTTAAGAGCATCCGAGCAAAAGAATGAATGGAGAACCATGATCGCCGATGTCTGTCGCAGATCAGGCACTTGACGATGATGAATGAAGGTAAAACCGGGTGCCTATTGCGGATGGAATCGGGTCGGGTCGGGTCGGGTCGGGTCGGGTCGGGTCGGG